AATTTACGAAGAGCACATGGAAGAAAGCCAAAATATACGGCACAACCTTTCAGCTATTGCTTGAATGGCATATATTCTTTCCTATGGTGAAAGCAACATATATTTTAGTATTATCTCTCCCCACTTTCTGTCTTTGCTGCTCCACTGCGCAAGTAAAGGGATGGGTCTCCGTGAAATATGGTACCTTCAAAGCCTCATAAAGTTTCTGTCTCTAAAAGCACTTTGGCTACCCGGACTAGATTTGGAAGCAATCTACCACACCGGGTGCTTCAGGCTTAGGTAGCATGTTACAGACTACATGTGAGCCAGCTTTTGACAGCATAAACTATTTGAAAGAAAGCAGCGGCGGTCGATCTTTTGGACGGGAATCAGCGCTTTTCATGTAGTACTTAGTTGTAGGTTATAACAATTTGTCACGGGGTTTTTATGTGGCTCTTAAACTTTCCACGCTTTGCTGCGGTCCACGGTCCACCGCATCGGCGCTGGGCCTATTCGCCACCGGCGGATGGATACACATTAATCACCGTCTCCGGGGCCGTATTCATGCGCACACTTTGATTAACGTCATCGTTTACCATCGCGAGCAGGATACATCAGGCAACAGCAAGTAAATTTTATGGATGACATCTTCCGCAGACTCCAAATCTAATGCGATAGGGCGAAGAAAAACAAGGCGGGCCAAAAAACAAGATGCCTACACCAAAAAGCAGTTACTCAAGCAACTGGATATTTTTTTCCAAAATCATAGCCAGTTGCTTGAGTAACTGCTTTTGGGCGTATCGTATTACCTGGATGTCTAACCTTCATCGACGTATCAAGATTCCTACATTTTCAAATTTTGACATCATAAACCTTGTTAAGCAAGAAATGATACTTATGCTAGTTTTACTGCCAACTATTACCACATCCATTAGTCACAGAAAAAATATTTAAAAAATCAATTATTGTACTGATGGTTTTGATCCAACGGGAACATGACATATAAAAGGAATGAAATACATCACTGCATCAAAGTAAAAGACAAAATAATAAGTCAAAGCCTTGTGTGGTCGATCTCCTCTCTTCATATTTATGTCATCCACGTTCCGGCACGGCAACAGACATCTTTGCCCATTTTCGGCATGTTGGCCACTGTCAAGATGGCAACCAAATCACTTGTTTTTTTCCAAATCAGGCGAAAATTCATGCGCGTACGACGTCATTCATAAGATTTACTTACTGTGGCCTCATGTACAGGGCCAAAATGTGCGCGCAGCGGGGGCTGTCTGCCAAATGTCAACCGAGTTGCTGAGGCGAAAATTAACGAGCTCACTCCTGACCTGGAAATGCCAGGCAATCTGGTACTGACACAACTCCATGTTACACCGCTGAACCTGTTCACACTCTCTCCCTTACTCCAGGAGGTTTGAGAAATGTTCAGGAGAAAAGGATACAAATTTAAACATGTATACTTGATTATAGGTTTTGATGAATGAAATTAAGAACATGTCAAAGCAGGACATACGCTTTGAACTACCTGATGATATACAGAACTGAACATATAGTGGGCAGAGTATGCAGTCATGTTTAGATATGTTTCAAGAAGAGAGAAGAAACAGTGGTTAACAGTAGTTGAACAGTAGTCCACAGTGTTGTTTTAACACACAATACTTTAAGTATTCAACGTCAGAATGTGCTATTTCAGTGTTCAGTATACCCATATCTTTCATCCATATGTCAACTATATGGACACATAGCATGAAAGTTCATCTGTGTTGGTATAACGGTTAAGTCATTATGAAACAAAGACTAAGCTTTAACTAGATTTTGGATAAGTCCTCATTCATTGGCATTGTAGTTAGTGTTGGAAGTTCAAGCTTAGTCTTTATTTCATATATGGACACATGTGCATTTAGCCAATTTAGGCATGCAGAAATATGCAATGAATTTAAGATTGAAGATTCACTCAAAGATTTAATGGTAGCACGTTGTCCACATTATGTTATGGTTACATCTTTATATTAAGACTAGGTCGGGGCTTATGCATGTCTCTATTCAAATCATGTGAACTGATAGACAACGAACTACCTGGTAATCCACAGTTGCCGCAATGTAGTGATGTATGTATCTACTGGAATTCTTCTCCAAAAGTCACAATATACACCTGCATGATGCCTTAGTGGGTGGGCGAAGGAGTGTATGAACCATAAAGCAGCGTTAACTCAAACTTAGTTTGATCTCCTACTTACTTTTATGTGACACCACGATACAAACAGCATATTTCACGTACCTGCCAACTTAGATTCCTGTATCCCAAACGAAAAGTAATATCTTGGTTGGCTATATATTACCAGCTATATTTCTATCTGGAGAATACTGCAACTCTAGTTCTGACGGCAACCATATATATCAGTCACTAGACTGGTATTCTCTTAAATCCCAAGTAATACCGCTTACCGGTACCAAGTGTACATAAGTATAAATCATGAGCAGTGTGTGAGTGGGTTATTTGACACTTCTACTCAACTGCTATCTCTCTACAGGCATGGATCCAGAATTTACTACAGATAAGGCCTATACAACCGGTGGTAAGGCCTATACAACCATCGCTGGGAAAACAACGAAGCAACTTTTAAGTAAGCGTTGAAAAGCAACTGTGTGGCATATTCTACATTAAAACTGCATTATGTAACATTAGGATGATACAAAATGTAAATTTTCTGGTCATTTCTGTACAACGTAAATTGAATAAACGCTACTTCCATTGGAAATCAGTGCCTTTCATGAAGTTTAAGTGCCAGAATATGATGTCTTATGAGTGTGTTTAAAAGCTCTAAACACAGCTGTCAGCCGGCGATGTTTGTTTACATTCTGGTAATTTGTGGTGGCACCACAAACTGGATGTACCTCGTGTGGGCTGTTTTAGTGCCAACCATAAATTTCAAAAATGTGAGGCAATATTGCACAAATATGCTGAAAAGTGGAAGTAAATTACAACCACACGAATATTCTTTTAAAATACAATATTTCAATTTTTGGTGCAAAAGAAATGTTACATAATGCCCCTTTAATAAGACCGCGCCTGTGTTGATTCATTAGCCGCTGTCTAAGCTGAATGATTCCGCGGCATCCTTTAATCACCGTGCGGCGTACTGATTGCTTACCGAGCGGAAGTTTCATCCCAGAACGGAGCCGTTAATGTGAGAATGAGCGAACTAATCAATCAGTGACAGTGAAGAAGGATCGAGCTGCTACAGAAAAGTAACTTCAAAAGAGAAAACTTTCCGGAAGTTTCAGATGGACAGCTTATTCTTAAGGCCACAGCAAGTAATTTGTATGGATGACATCATCGCGCGCATTGATTTTCGCCTGATTTTGGAAAAAAAAATTGTTGCCTTCTGACAGTGGTCACCATGCCGAAAATGGGCAAAGATGTCTGTTGCTAATCTCCAAGCAGATCTTTTGGTGGGGGTAAGACAGTATCAAATTTTTGATACTGTCTGGCCAATTTGATACTGTCTTACCCCCACCAAAAGATCTGCTTGGAGATTAGTCTGTTGCCATGCCGGAAGGTGGATGGCAGATAACTATGAAGAGAGGAGACAAGAAAAGGCTCTGACTTAATGTTTTGTTTCTTACTTTGATGCAGTGATATGTGATGCTGTCTGTGTATACTAGTATGTGATGTTCCCACTGAATCAAAACCATGCCATTTGTACAATGATTGAGTCAAAATTAAAAAAAAAATGTAGGAACCTTGTTTTTTTTTGCCCGTCTTGTTTTTTTTCGCCCGCTCGCATTAGATTCGGAGTCTGCGGAGGATGTCATCCATAAAATCTACTTGCTGTGGCCTAAATTACAACCCGCATGGATAGTAATTTCGTCCCATTGGGTGATCTATACTTCACAATGGGTTTTATTTATCGGACGCAAATTACTTAAATTGCTTGTGACGCGAGTAAGCTAAGAGAGATACACTGGAAACATAAGAGGAAGAAGCTGACTTGTAGCTCATGGCTGAATTGAAAATGGTAATCAATTGACAAGCGAAATTAAAAGTTTGTGCTCTGGCTTTGCGGTTTTATTAAATGCTTGTACCAATCATTGCTTCACGTTCCTTTGATTTTAATCTGTTATGTACTTAATGTGGCATACACACACACACAAACGTCCATATCTATAATCTCTCCAATAGATACGACGGATGTTACTATGGGGAAAGAATCTCCAGATGATACTGAAGAGATTTGGGAGTTATTCTCAAGTAAGGTTTCTCAGCTAGCCTGGTTACCAAACCTATTCTAGCTCCCGAGTCCTGCAGCCTAGTCTTGCAGCCTAGTCCTGCAGCCTCTCCGCAAATAGGCTATAGGACTCGGGAGCTATTATAGGTTTGGTAAACAGGCTATTTCTCAGCTACAGTTGCGTCCGTATGCCTCTTCAACTGCATACAAATCAGCTGCCACCGGTTCCTTTTTGCGCGATTTTTGCTCAATACTATAATTAAAACACACTGTTCCAATCGCGGTTTATAATTTTCAGTAAGCTGACCCTTACAGAAATATGCCTACTTCATCTTTGGTATGCTGCAAGATTTTTTTAAACAACTTTAATCATAAAACAAATTGAATATTCACATAATCACATTTCTCATGTGTTGAGAGGGACACCTCTGCTACTCTACACTTAGCTACTATTGTACAATTCCATGTATATGTACAAATACACTGCAAGATTGGATCATGATAAACAGTGTCGACCCAAAGTAATTTGGGAGTTATGAACAAGATTGATTGCTTGATGACTAAGACTGGATTTGTACAGTCCAAAATTTGGGTGATTCCAAATTTTGTTGTGTTGGAAATCACAGTTCAATCTTGCTTATATTATAATGACTTCTACGAACACAGATGAACTTTCAATATAATTTGGGAGTTAAATGCAATGCAGTTCGAGATTCTCTGACTGAGCTTGACAAACTTTCTCACATTTAGTAACTTTTTTTCTGTTTCTGTCATCAACAGGTGACGCCCAACCGAGGACACAGAGCAATGAAATCCCGCAACAGATCCCGCCCGACCCAAGTAAACGAGCAGCCCGTTGGTTGATCATGATGCGTAACGCGGCCTACGGTTGGGCAGACACGCCGAACGCCATCTTGGCTCTGCAACTGGCCAATGACACGTGGTTTAACAAACAGGACCTGTCCAGCCAGCTGAGCGTCAAGCAGATGCAGATTGAGCTTCTGTCGAAGATTGCAAGGTGCGTTCTGATTCGTTGCTACTTTGTTTAGAATAATAGTAACTCAACCCAATTAATTATCTGATCGTGAGACTGTTTAGACATACAACTCCAGTTGAGCTGATCTAAACGAAGTATGGACCTCCTCGACTTACTTAGTTCATTATGAGGTGAAAAACAAATTCATCTATCATAACATAATGACTTGAAAATTTGGCAATGTCGAAGTTTTAGTGAAAGGGAATGTGAAGTCTTTGAAGCAGACAATCTTATATATTTGTTTATGAAGTTTTACCATATTTGTGGTGACTAGACTGTAAGGTTTGAACCACTCACACCGGGAAGGACCCCTGCTCTTTTCAATAAGTGTGGTGGGATCTTTAACGTTGCTCACCTTAAACAAGGGACCTCCGGCATTACGTCCCTAACCGAAGCTAGGTACTCATTTACAGAGGAGTCAAGTGAGGAAATACAATGTAGGTGTCTTTCCCAAGGATACAACAGTGGGGCCTACCAGGGATTCGAACCCAGAACCTTCGTATTCTGAGTCTAAACCCTAACCACAAAACCACCTTGCCACCTTAGTCGATTTAGGGCAAAAATTTTATTTTCATACAGGTACTAGTCCCCATTCTTAACTTGTTACAGTACCGTAGTACTGAGGAAACATGTCCCGACAGTCGTCAAGCTCCATGCTCATAAACCCCCGATTGCCAGCAATACCAGAAAGGTCGTGTTGGTGACTTCATATCGCTGATGTGTGACGTCCGGGGATTGCCTCTGTACAAACGACACACGCCTATCTCCTACAGACCAGCAGATTGCCAAACGCAATTTTGGTTCCAGAAAAAAAAAACTCTCGCCAAAATTGGATATGGATGGAGCCGGTGCCAGAGACAGTCACGGAGCGCATTAATCATACAGTGTAAGATATCAGCTCAGGGATCGTCCCTGGTCCCATGGTACGGAGTTTGTTCTGAGCTTAATGATTATCTCAGGTTCAATGACAATGTGGTTTGCAACTTGACCCGTCTGGGAAGGGTCCATTTCAAATGTTTGGTGTCGTTGTTGCCCATTGCAACTAGAAAAGTACGATTTGCAAAGCAATTGCATAATGTTTACCTTCGCATATGGTCTACTCTGTTAATTCTTACTCAATCACATTCACATATATGGTGACAGGAGTCTAAATCCCTCCTACTATAAAATTGCAACATGATGTAACCCAGCACCAGTTACCATGATGAGAGACAGTCTGGTTCAGTGAGGTCAGAGGTCACTGTTTGGAGAGGAAGAAGAGGAAACGTAGCAAAAACAATATGTTTTCCTTCGGTAAATATAATGAAGAGTTGTTTCATTTGAAAAATCATTTCGAAAAAAATTCAATATCTAACTGTAGTTGACTACACCAGTTTCGTGTTCATATTACTTAATGTGATTCTACAAATAGTTTATCTGTCATGTTCTTTCATTTCTTGCAGAGAGGCCAGTCTAATTGTCATTTTGAAAGTCCTAGTCTTGTGCCTCACGCTGTTTAATTTTTGAGTCGGCCTCGAGTTAACGCGTTATGCTATACACTTGGGTGTGCTAACCTACCTTGACTTTTGATTTCCTTCATTTAGAAGCAATATGAAATCGCTCTTTTATTATCTCCTAGAGGCTTAGATGTCAAATGTTGAATACTCATCGCAATCATTCGTGGCATGATGTTGGTCCCTTTGGTGATCAGTTAAGAATATGCTGCACATTGATGATTTTTTATCGTTTGTCAAAATGTGTAGAATATGATATAAGATGGCATTTCCAAAGCAGGGACATTTGAAATGTATTATACATCATGTAATAATACGCAGCCCTTTTTAATATTCTGTCAATAGAATGTGGCAACGATCAAGCTGTCTTCGTCAGAAGATATTGAAAAAGGAGCCCCAAAGACTTGCCCTTAGTCTGAACAATTATTGTGTATTCTAGAGATTCACTCACGTACGCACCGAATCGGTTTATCTGTAGCCTTGAGGCCTAAGCATCGGATGAACAGTTTTACCTCAATGAATATTTCATCTAAGAACGGTTTCACTGACATGGGACTCTGTCGGAACGCCTTTATCTTAGAGTGGATTCTGTTGTTTTAACCGATCTCGTCTCGGGTGCCATTGTCTCCTTGTGGTCCATGAGCTCGTTTGATATATGCTGGAGGAGCATGTCATTCCTCATTGCATTGTGAAGTCTTGACTGTGTGTTTTATCTTGCCAAACCGTCGGGTAGATACAGTGGAAGTAATTGTATATGGATGATTGTTTTGCCATAAGGCGACATTCCCTCGCCTCCAGCCGTCAAAGCGAACATTTATCAAGAACGGAATCTGCCTGTCCGACCTTGCGTGTCGTGTTCCTGCTGCAATATGGGTAGAGAGATCTCACTCCGTTCTTCTGGGAATGAATCCACTTCTCTCTCAAACGGTGCGGAAGATACCAAGGCATTCGCCTGACCAAACAGGCCAGCAATAAAATCGATAAAAAAGAACAGTTCGGCACCCGGGTTAAAAGTAAGGAAATTGTCCCCGGGAAAATGCGCTCACTACGTTATCGATTTTTCATGTATGTAAACATGGCATGCTGAGTGGCTTGTGCTTTTTGGTGTTTGATGTATGATAAAGTGCACGGCTAGAAATGTGCCTTTTTTTCTTCTTACGGTTGCCTAACCGCACTGTTTTACGTGGATTATCAGTGAGTGGGGTTTTCCCTTTGTTGTAAGGCATCGCTGGTTACCAAATCCCTTGGTGTCAACCGTGTGAGGACCGACGTATTTAGCTTTCAAGAGAATATAGTACGGACTGATGATTGCCTAATGTAATACGAATCTCTTGGACCTAGTTTCGCGAGCCTCTACTAGACTCTGGGTGAGCAGAAAAGTGTACTTTTTATCGAAACAACTGCCCAAGCATGTTATTCGTCTATTTGGCAAATTTCTCCTCAGTCTTTCTAGCCGCTTCCTGATGCCTGATGGAGGCTACAATTTCCCCAAACAAATCAGATACCAGCAAGTGTATATCACGGAAATACAAAAGAAAGAATATGTTTTAAGCGTTCTGACAAGCTCAGATTATCACGAGAAATTGTTCATTATGTGCTCATATGTTTGTGCCCGTACTTGTACTAACTACTACTTTCCACCAACTTCGTACATCAATTATTCTGTACACATCTGCTAAGACGAGGACGCTAAGCCTAGAATAAACACGGTAGCCATCGGTATTTAGCAGGAGAATTCGACTATCTCTTCCAGGCTTAAGGTTCGTTCCCAAGCAGGTGTTTGTGGGATTTATATCTCATCATAGTAAGCCCAGTCAATAGTAGAATAATGTCATATCATCAGCATACCAATCACAGGCAACGTGTTTTCTTTCCGCTTGTTCAATTGATTTCAATACGTTAGATCCTTTAGATAAATTCAACTACATTCTCAGGGGAGATAACCAATAGTGTTCAAATAAATACATTAAAGAATGTTTCGATCTTAGAGACTACATGTTAGAGAATAGTTAAACCTTTATTGTTACCGCTTACATATACTCTGTACGTAAGATGACGTTATCCACACATGTATTTGTGCTTTGTTAGATCTTTAGTTGTAGAAGACCATACAGAAGTCCCTACACTTTTTGTTGTGTCAATAAAGAATCTATAAAACTTTCATTTTCAACAAGAAGCAATCTTTTCACCGTTTGATATATCATTTCAATATCATCCCTACAGGTGAGATTGATTTATAACATACTGATAGAATCTTTTATCGATCTCTAGCTTAGAGCAATCTGTGATCTAATAATCATCTGTTTGGCATGAATGGATAACGGTGATACAGACTTCCAAGAGGAACAATTACGTTCTATCATCTCTTCTGACAATAAATCAATTAAATCCTGATAGGGGTGTCATATTTCATGATGTTCATCTTAGGCCATGTTGATTTGATTATATGGATGACATCCGCGCGCGCATGAATTTTCGGCCGTTTCCAAAAAAAAAAAGTTTTCAACCATACTGTAAATCGTACAAAACAGTTGCAACATGAGCATAAATATACCATAAGTTACAAAAAAAAAATTAATAAAAACTATACCAATGTCGTAGAATGCCAAAATCAAACGAAAAAAGACGAAATTGTAAAGAAATGAACATGAAGACTAGATTATTCGCCAAACCATATTCTGTGCCATTTGCTCAACCCTCATGACCACGTAGATTTCATAATGAAAAGAACTTTTTTTTGCAAAACTTTTTTTATTCGCACGCGCGCATCAATTTTGGGGCTCCCGGAGGATGTCATCCATATAATCAAATCAACATGGCCTTATCTGTCTACAATGATGAATTGTGGATGTCTTTCCTGTGGTGGTAAGGGAATACAACTTTTGTAAAGCAGTTTCAGGAACGTGACATGAGTGGAGAGATATC